GCCAAAATTCTTGGACGAGGAGGAACGTGCTGCCCTGGAGCAATACCAGGCTGAACAAGAAGCAAAACTCGAAGCTGAAGAAAACGAAGCAACTGGCTCTGGCAGTGCTAGCGGGGACAATGCCAAAAAGAAAAGTGCTGGAAAAGAGGATGAGGATGGTGATGAAGACGAAAGTGATTGAGCGTCTTTTAGTCTGGCTTTGTGAAATGCCGGATATGAGTTATTTTGTATTTTGCACAATGTACATGTTTCATGCCGTCAAGTTTCGGCGTCTAATTTTTTTAGCTTGCGTTTCATTGAATTAATGTGTATCTCCTTATGCCTCATATTTTTTCTCAAAATTGTCGTTTGTTTTTAATTATCAAATATTTCTTTTTCTGTTTTTTATTTTCCGAAAATTTTCTGCTTCCGTCTCCGTTGCATTCTTCACAATCGTGGTGTCTGAATTTTGAAAAGGACAGAAATCGCACTGGGTTTAACGAACGTATAATTTGTTTCTTTTTTACCCCGTCGCCCAGTAAAATTGCAGGCTAATCGCGGCGCATATGATTAATTGCATTGCGCATTCAATTACTCCATTTTGTTGCACAAATGACGCTAATTCTTGATTTTTTGCGTTCCAACTTTTATCTATTTTTCATAATTATGATAACCGATAAAAGCATTGTTGTTTCTTAAACCCACTGCAGCCAGTAATCAACCAGTGGAGCGGCACAGCAATAAACTTAGCTGTACACTGAAATTTTCAAAGCGCTTAGCTGTACACTGAAATTATCAGAAATTTTCAAAGCGCTCGAAGGATTGTGCCGAGAGCGTCGCTTAGATCATTAAATACCAAATTCCGTGGATGCATCTTCTCAGATTTTAATTAGCTGTAGTTCGGCAGTAATTCATATTACGTCATCAGAACAGGTAACTGCCGCCAAATGCCAGCATCTCGAGCCATCTGGCTGTGCTTATTGTTAGATGGGATTGGTGGTGCATGCCAATTCGCATTATCTTTTCGCAAGAAGACGATCTCTGATGTTTTCTGCATATAA